TGTTTAAATGTGGACTCGGTCCGCAACTGACTTTTTCTTCCTCTTCTTAACTCGTCCCATCTTTCTGACCCTCCTTGACCGTTTTCTCTGACTCTCATTTGTTTCGTTCCTTCTTTCACTTTTTAACTTTTTACCTCTGCCATGGCTCCACTCGTCAGCCTCGTACCAGAAACGATCGACAACACCCTGGGTGCGGTGTTCTTGGGATTATTAAGTGCATGCTTGTGCGTGTTATCATTTTATTTTATACTTCCAGGGAATCCACGCTTATCGTTTCACTAGTCTTTTCGGGATAACGACCCTCCAAGCGTACTTCTACTTCCACAATTACCCCCGGGACACGATCGTCCATCGCCTATCAGTGGGCGTTTTATACCTCCTCGACACGGTCCACCTCGGACTCACTATCCATGCCATGTATTTCTATATCGTCGCTAATCGCGGCAGGGGATTGGTGGAAGCGGGCCCGGGAATTGTTTGGTCGATCAAGGTACTTTTCAGGATAACCGGGCTAACGAGTACCGGAGCTAAGATACTATTTTTGTCCAGCTACAAGTAGCGATAATGGTCGTGATCATTCTCTTTGTGCAGAGGTATTTATCGACTTCTATTTCTCACAGATGATACGAAGTTGATTGCCGTTTCGCTTCAAGTCTTTACGCGCTCCGAATTTGGTTACTGAGTGGGTACCACCGCGGGTTCCTCCGGTACCTTGCGGCGCTGAGCGTCGCTGGTGGCTTTGGTATCGGTATAGGTTAGTGTGATAGTGCTCCGTCCGCGTTAACTACCCCCTGACTTGTTGTTTCAGCGCTAACATACGAAATGTACGGTACCTTTTTCAGTTGAGGGAAATGCTAATCAACGGATGATATAGATACACGGCTCCAACGTTCTCATCCCTCGTGTTTGATAATAAGGCTTGGGCGATGGAGTCATCCCTGGCGGCCTCCACACTTATCGATTTCGTGCAGGCGTTCGCGATGTGCTATTATCTCCGCAAAAGCCGGGGCACAGAGTCCGAGTGAGTTCATCTGATGTCTTCCCAAATTATTCCTGACATCAATCTAGTCTGAATTCGCGCATCTCCGCTGTGATGCAGTATACCCTCAGTTCGGGGCTTGTCACGAGTGCTTGTTCGTTGGCCGTGTTGTTTACTGTAAGACCCTGATTATTTCTCATGCTTAATCTTACCAGTGGTTTTAGTACGTACTTGTGCCAAACACGCTCATATTCATCGCGCTGGAATTTTTGTTGACAAGATGTATGGTTCTTTTATCGTCCACTTCATAACAGAATTTCCAATGACCTTCATTTATAGTATACGTCGGCTCATTCCTAGCTATGCTCAACGCAAGGCAGTTCCCCATTCACGACCGCCAGGAACTCGATTCGGTTGCCTCACTGTCAATGCCGCCTCGTTTCAAGCACTCGAGTATTCACTCAAGCGTGCGCTCTAGTCTGAAACACTCAATCCGGCTCAAACATCTCAGCTCGGGTTCAAAGTCTTCACCGAGTTCTGTGAGTTCTCCGTCCTTGTTTTTCTCATCAGTTCCAGCTGACCCTAGAACCTACAGAGCGAAGCAGAATGCCAATGGGACATTGTTACCCCCGCCCCCCTACCTGCAAGGGTGCGCATGGGCGGACAAACGGTCAAAATGTCAATATTTTAGTAAAATATTGTGGTTGAAGGGTTTTTACGTTGGGTACTAGAAAATTTGTATCATTTAGCATCCTCTCTTTCGATTTTCGACTAAATGAGAACTGGGTTTTCATTCTATTCTCTCTACCGCCGCGCAACTGTATGATCGTATGAAACCGGGACAAGCATTCTCATGCCACTTCAGTTGTATTGTCACAGGTTTTTTATTCAGTTCATTTGCTCGCTCAAGGGCCCTGTCAAAAGATTTCTGTGGCCGTCGTTCTCCACTCCCCATGCAGCTACTATTCGGGCTCCCATGAAATAAGGTTGTACTGTCCAGTCATATTTCGCCAACTTCAATTCGTTCGCTCCGGCGAATCAACGTCGTAGAATTACCTGCCGCTGAGAGGTCTATTCGCTTCTTGTCCCTAGCCTAGATTAGATCGGCTGATCCGCATGTCGACGACGCCCAATCCCCATGCGTCATCTAATCTAATCTCCGAGTCCAGGCCTTTTGATGACGGGCGCATTGGAATATTTTCGTTTGCTTCCATCATCATCGAGTATACCCTCCCAGTCGTCTCGTCATCCCGTCCTGACCCTTTCGCCTTCTTCTGTCTATATAAATCGTCACTTTTCACTTGTACTGCTAATCTTTACTATCCTGGCTGGCCGAACACCCAGATTCATGGACGTTTTCAATCCCAAAATTCTCGATGCTTGCATTCGGGATGTTGCATACTGCCTTTCAGATAACCAGAAAGCGGATCTGTTGCTTTATGCAATGACGAGTCTCAAGTATGCAAGGTGCGGCAGTTTCCTGGCAATCCCTCCCAATGCTTGCCTCTTTCATCCCACTATTCGTTCTTGAACATATTCACTAACGGCGACTCTGGCAGACATAAAGTCGTTATCGAAAATGCTATCCAGGCCTGCCTATCGATCCATGCGCTCTCCCCATCAATCGTTGCCAAGGCTCGGATCCTACGTGCTCGTCTGCGCTTGGATGCCGGTTCGTTTATAGGCGCCCAAGAAGGTTCGTTACAACACTTATCCGTATCGGAATACCGCTCAAAGACTGCTCCAGATCTTCACGCGGCTCTGCAAGCAGAACCTGATAATCCAGAAGCAACCGCACTGTTACACCAACGTTCCGTCGCCGTGGAGAAGGTGAGTACCCTCTCAGTTACGAACCAGAGTAATGACAAATTTAACCCCAGCTTCTCGCTCCCACGGGGCATCGGATCTCTAATGAAGTATGGCGCGAAATAGCCTTATTTCTTCCTCGTCGTGATTTGAAAACACTCCTCTCGGTCCCCCATCCTTTATCACGCGTAGCGTCTCAGCTTCTCTTCCGAAAGGTCGATCTTCATTTCGGCGAGGGGGAGGGGGGCCAGCCGTTCGACGAGGGAGAAGGGGGAGAATGGGAAAAAGAAAGGGACAGAGATCAACGAACGGCCGACATCCTCACCCGCGTCATTACCGACCCTTCCTTCGCCAGCGTCGTCCGCACTCTCCGGATCTTCGCCACCGTCAACAGCCACAACTCGTTCCAGACAGGAATACTGTCGAATGCTCTCCCGAAGATGATAAATCTCAGGAGGGTACACATATCTTCGAGCGCCGACGGTGTCCTACCCGTGCTCAAGATTCTCCAATCGTGTTCGCCCAAGCTGAATGGTCTCTCGCTGCATGTCCCTGATGGGCTGTTTGAGCTGAGCACCCTCACTTTGAACCATATCGCCAACTTTGCTTATCACGGTGGTGGTAGTGGCAATGGTGGGGCGCAGAACCCCCATGCTTTCCTTGCCCAGCATCGCTCAACACTACGGACGCTCTCCCTGGAGAACCCAGCATGGGTATTCCCCGTCGACGCGCTGTCACTCCGGAACCTCACCCACATCCACTTCCTCGGACAGTTCCCCCTCAACAGCCAAGCCATCGGGACGATTCTTAATCACGGCAGGCAACTCGAGTCGCTCTCCCTCACCTGCCTCCTCGACTGCGCCCCTTCTTCCCAATTTCGCGTCGCTCAAGGAGAGCTTCCCTTCCTCCGACACTTTGCCTTCTCAGTCCAAGCGATGAATCGACGACTGACGGACCGCGACCTATTCCCCTCCATAGCAGAGTTCCTGCGAGGCCGCGTCGACCTTCGTACTCTGTCTCTCCTCGTCCCCGCCGAGCCTATCCAGAAAGCCGTCGGCTTTGACGCGTCAGTGTGGGGTGTGCTACCCAGTCTAACCGGTCTCAAGGGACTAGGGATAACCTACCCGAGGGACCTAGCACCTGGTCTCGCAGCGTGGTTGATCCCTCGAAACGTTGTCAGCCTCACCCTGAACGGTCTAGTCGCTGGAATGCGGGATCTCCGTCTCGGGGTACCCCCAGGTTTGAGGTTCGTCGGGCTCGACACAAGCGGGATGGGAACCGGCGAGGTCGCTGGTATCGTCGAGCAGGGGTTCCCGATGGTGAGGGTCGTTCGAGTCGCATCGACATATTGGACCGTGCATAGGAAGAAGAAAAGCGGGAGGAAAGGTGAAGATGGAGGTTTTGAGCTGGAGAGGTGGCCTGTGCGGAGAGGGCGGTATCATGTTAGTGAGTGGCTCGAGTGGTTTGGCTGCGAGGACGCGTTGGGCGTCGAGGATATTTATGGGATCTGAATTTTGCTTTGGATTTGGATTTAGTGTACATGCTGTATCATTGGGACTTTGCGCCGTTAATCATAATCTATATGTGGAACCGTTGTATGGTATGGCAGCTTCAGCAACATTCGTTGATGATGGCGGCGTTTTCCCGGAAGGATGTTATAAGCTCGAGCAGTTTGTTGGGGAACTCTTATGGCACTAATGATGCTCTTCGTGCTCTTGATGGGATTTTGATTGTGGCAATAGAATGGTATTGGTATTAATACCGGCACAAAGTCCCAATAATGTCGGGGTTGTGGGCCTTGCCGTTCCAAGGTGATCGATCTTATTGGCGGACAGACTCGAGATGGGCGGTAAACGAATATTGAGAAAACGCGCTATGATTGCATTCAAGATTGATAGCATCAAGAACATTTTGTTAGGTCGTGTACATTCCCGCTTCGCTTATGTCGCACGAATAACTACCGTGAAAAAGAATTATGCCCAGATGTGCTTGCGAAATATTTGACTCTTTGGGACCGTTTTCGTGGATCCAAATGATTCAAATTCATCTTGTCATCATTGGGATGGGAATATAAAGTGTCTGGCTGTTTGGCGCCCCGTCATGATTTGATATACTGGTATGTCCAGCGAAAAAACTATACGTTAAGGGATAGATGGATTTAAGATTATAATTAATAACTGGCATTATAAGCTGTTTCGATAAGGCTGATTCTCGTGCATTAGTGGTGTAATGGTTAACATGTGGTCTTCCCATTTACGAGTGGCCGCGTTCGGGGTTCGATTCCCCGCTAATGCATTAGCTGCTCGAAAAACAATGTTTTTTGGGATTTTCCATTATCCGATGAAAGGCTTAAAGATTCAAATGGACGAATAATACACACTGTTCCTTGTGCAAATTGTGCAACGGGATCACAGTGAAATTCTCATTGTAGTTGCCCTTTCTCCAGCCGTACTACATGGAATCGAGTGTCCCCCATAACCGAAAACCCTCAGAGAGTTTTGCCTATGCAGGACATGCTGGCATGATAGCGAGACCCGGAGTCTGCGGGGTTGACCGCATGCAGCTGGTTCTGTCCCGCCGGTAGCGGAGAAATAGTGCGTCAATGCGGCGGTGGCGACAGACGCGGGAATGTATTACGCAAACGCCCGTCGATGCGCAGTGTAAACCCCACAGCGCAGCACGAAAATCACGCCGATCATGGATTCATGTTTGAAATGCGAGTGTAAGAGAATCCTAGTACATTAGGCCCGAGAAATAAATATAAAGTAGGTATAACGAGGGGCTTTGCATGAATAAGCGAGGGGAGGTCCATCCAACAGTCATTTTCCTTCAATTGCGACGCGACACATCGAACAGAAACCCGGCGATTCTAGGGGAAGATAGAAAAGAAAGGCTAGACTAGAAGAACACGCATAGGGCTCCACCAAGGCCTGCGACCAGCGCTGCACCCATGCCCATGAGAGCTCTCCATTCCACCAACGCTGGCAGTGCACCCGACACAGCCGGAAAGGTCGTCACGAAACCCTGTGTTGGATTCGGCGATCCGCTTACCGTGACGGTAGCAGCGGCACTATCTGGTGTGGGAGTCGAACCAGACGTGGATGTAGCGGTGCTGGAGGAATTCAGGACGCTAAACCGGGGGGAGGTGGTATACATCACCCCGTGTGTCGAATTGAGGAAGAGCAGGAAATAGTCGTCGGCTGCTGGGATATCTTCGAGGTATACGTTTAATGACGATGGTGACGCTTTGTCGGCAGGGACTGGTGAAAAAATGAGGGTTAGGGTTGGAAAAGAAAGCATGTGCACGCACCAGTACTGGCGATATATGTCAGGCCGTCCTCACTGAGCCTCGTCATCTCCACATCGAACGAATCGACACCGTCTAACACGCCCTTCTCCCAGGATATCACATTCACGGCACCGTTCCGCCATTGCGCATTTTCTGCTGGCGCCGTTATCACAAAGTACGCTGTTGCAAAATGTCAGAAAAACCGTCAAGGCGGGCAGCACAAACTGACCAGAGGCAGCGGTGGCGACTACGAGGGGTATAGGTAAGACTTTTGATAGCCGCATGTTCGTTGTTTTGCGTGTGGTCGTATAAAAAGGGTATGAGTCCGGAGAGTCGATGGAAAACAGAGAAGGAAATCGTGAATGAAGTAGCGACCGACGGCGACTTGAGATGGGACAGGCGGGCGCAGCAGTGGGCGGGATAGAGGGAGGGAGAAAACAGGAGAAACGTGACAGATTGATTCGGCTCGACACTTTATTTGCTTGTGTTGTCGTTTCAGGGGGCTTGACTCCTAACTCGCTGATGACGTCGATTGGTATGCATCTTCCATCGGCGCGAGATAAGCATCTGCGCTCGACGTCGACACGGAACTCGCCACGGAAACTGGAATTTTGGGAGTTTTTTTACTTTTTGTGAACGCAAGGTCATCTGGCCAAAATGCATCCGCGGCGAGCTGAGACCGGTGAAACATACGCTTGCCGTCGGCTGTTTTCTGCAACGGCCAGTTATTGATGCCGATATCACGTCGGGTCGCGTTCCTACCTCTCGTCTTCGCTAATCTTCTCATCGTTATGTTCTGTTGCCATGACTTTACATCTACCCTCAGTTTGCAACAATCTCTTTAGGCCAGTTCAGAGAACTCGCCTCCACTGCTGTTTAAAGCTACTTTCCTTGTTCTGCTTACATTCCTTACACTATCATTAAACTCGCGGTGTCTTTACCCTCCTTGTTTCAACGGCCTCTGAGTGTATCGCACGGTATCGTAAGTTGCCTGGAGCGCTGATTCCGATGGACGGTGGTTAGCAAAACATCCGAGTCGGAGACAACAGGCTGAGGCTGAGACGTAGGACGCCGCATTTCCACGTGCCGGGCGTTTGCACAGCTGGGCGCATTCCATTCATCTCTGCGATAGTTTTCCTTGTTCTTTCAACACGAATCTGCATCTTCGAAAATCGCAGTTAAGCGTTATATCATTGCCCTTCGTTGCCTTAGGCTTCTGCAAGCAAATATCTGGTCATCTTGGGGAGTCGCACTCCCGTAACTTCAAACTCCTCGTCAATACATAAGCTAGGAGAATTCTAATATTTTCCATTGCCCCTGCTAAGGGCGAGGGCCAAGGCTCCTTCGTCTACTAGGTGTCCCCTACGGTCTTTGCCATGAAGTATACTCAAAAGTCAATGGCTCGGTCTTGTTTTCTCGGTCATGCAGCCGACACTCTCTATACGTCCTTATTAGAGATCCCAGTCTCGAGAAAGCGTCCTCCATTGATACTCAGAGTCCCAATCTTTACTCGTGGGTTTGCTACCCGTGCATTCTCGACGAGCGTCGGCGTCGGCGCAGTGCTACACCTCCCTGTATCTATCCCAACCACATTCCTGAGGTGAAAGCGACAAATCCTCGACCCCATCAGTACCCTAGGCATTTCTCTCCGGATTTCCGGTAAACTGCTAATATAATGGTGCGTCTCCTCTCATTCTTTTGCCGCCTGTATTTTGTTAATTCGAGACACTGAAAGTTATACCCACAACTGACGGACGAAGTTTGCCATTATTACACCAGCGAAGCCAGCATCGGGGAACCAAGAGACCGTTTCCCTTAAACTTAGCTGCTCAAAATGCTTTGTCGGGAAGCCGAAAGTATACCGTTGCCGTGACGCCCGCAGGAGATTATCCATATCAATACCAAGTCGGCGGACACGCGCTTCGTATAGTGGCTATCACAGTTGTCAGGGTTCGAATCCCGCTCGAAGTATCTAGCGTTTTGATTTTCTTTTGTTGCTACCAGCCTATGTAACGATGAAACTGACGTGGATCCCTTCTCCCCTTCTAGGTAATTGACATCAGCCCTGCGATAGGACTCCCTGAAGTATTACAGCGGCTGTATTGCTAGGGCTACTGATGTCAGAAGAACAACCGTCACAGCATTAGGGCGACTCCTGGTTGCACCGGGGATAAGTTCTTGACACTGAAAGTAGTTCGTCCAAAGTTGAAATAGGAGCTCGGTCGTTAGGAGCAGAGCCAATAATAAGACAAGTACCCATATTGAAGGGAGATGATTACTAGTAAATGCTCAAAAAATGCTGGTAAACTGAGTACCAACTTAGTGTCCTTGATAATCTGAAAGTATTGAAGGGATCATGAGATTTAAAGACTTCAACATCAAGCGCAATCTGTACTGGCAATACATGTCACCAGGATTGGTGAACTGTAAAAGTTGCTGATTGGGTGCGGAGAATTCGGCCCGACCTAACGAAAGTCACCTGATCGCAAGTCGTTCCGAAATCCGCACCGCTTCCGAATCTTGATTCTCCGGAGACTCGTCGCGGGTATTCAAGTGACCGCGTTAAGCACAGGAGCATCCGGTTGTCGTCGGCGCTTTTCTGGATCGCCAATCAACCACGCCAGTCCTTGATGCCGCCGGCGGTACCACGTCCGATCTTGTCGTTAACTTCATGCATCGTTATGGTCCACTGCTCTGTTGGCAAGGAAGCTTTCCTGTCCAGGGATCACTTATTTCAATAGGTGGTGGCGAGCAAAACATCCGAGGAAAAATACACGCTAGCACGCTTCTTATGTCTCGTTCCACCACGGTGGTCGCACAGCTCCCTCATCTGCGTCATTCCGTTCACATTCCGTCACCAGCTATCGCACTACGACGAAGCCAGGTTGTCGCAAAGCCTCCGCGATACGTCGCCAGCGTTCCAACACTATCTTCCTAATTTGTTTCTAGATACAATACAATTGGGGAATCCGAGTCGGAACCTCTATAACTACCGCTATCTTGCACCATCCTATGAACCACTACTCCAAATTTTGCGTCATCCCACATATCGGTTTTACCCTTCTTCGTCCTCTTCAGCTCATGGAGCGGATTGCTCTGGCACATGCAACTGTATAATTTCTTGGCCCGCAGCTTACCGCAACCCTTGGGCCTAGGTGGTCATCAAGTTACTCTGGCGAGGCTGGCCATTCGCTATCCAGCACTTCCCAAATCCCTACATTCACCTGTTCCATCCCTTCGGGGTAACCATTGGTTCCGGGAGAACCAGAAGCACTTTTTGAAAGTCGATGCTAGGTTTGCCTCATCCCAATTCCTGGTATTATGCACACTCGCGGAACTCCGAATTTATTCGTACTTCTCAAAGACACTCTGGGTATCCACGTCACCGTAAAGGCTGGTCCTTTGTTATGAGAGTTTTCCTCCTCTGCACTCAAGCTCGCGGGTGGTCAGAATGTAAGTCTCTTCGGTCCTCGCATATTTCCGTATAGAGCCTTGGACGATGATCATCTTTCCGTCGTCAGTTTTCTTCATCTGAGTTCTCTGTTCTCATTTCCCTGATACGGTAGACAGTTCCCGGATCTCGCTGATAAAGTTTGTTTTCCCCATAGGCACCTCATCAACCGCAAATCATTCGAGTCGATGACGTTCTGATTGTCCGCCCTTTGTTTGAGTAGGATTGGCCAACCCCCTTATCATAATCATGATCATCACCGCTATAGGATGATGTTAAAACGATATTTCTCCGTTTCTGCCCCACAGTCTAGTTCCGAATCGCTAAGCGATGACAGGTAGCTCTTTCAAGTCACGTCCGAATGGAACGTAGAAAGGAAGTAACCGTCGTCTTCCACTTTACTGGCTTACTGTCTATTTGATTTCTGTTAAATAAGGCCAGCTAGACCTGATAAGCGTGCCCTCGAACGCCCATCAGAACACATCGAAGCCGCACTCCGCCAACCACTCGTGGCAGTAACAATATGCCGTATTTCCCATGTCCTGCGCTCGTCGT